CTAAGTTCAAGATAATTACAAGCAGATAATAATAAAATAACTGATCAGTAAAAAAATTTTTCTTATGCCAGCGATCCTCAAGGTAGAGGTGGACCTAACTGCATCACTACTGGTCTTCAGGAGCTTCACAGCCAACCTCACTTGGCATTGTTCACTACTTAGTGAGAGATTTGGTGAAAAGCTCCATTGGTTACCTAGAAAGATGTAGCTTTCCCACCATATAGGTTCTAGCAATTTCCATCCTCTAGTATGTAGTAGGCGCTGCTACTGCTGCCACTACATAAGTAGTTTACAAATTTCTGAGTGCCAGAAGCAATATTTCTTCTAATCTTGTTAATCTTACTTGATAAGGTTTTTTTATTTTATATTTATTTCATTACAACACAGGAGAATCATAGGAGGCAACTCATTTATTTGGAAATACTTTTTTGCATGACATATGCCTCAAGGACTTACAGAGATGCAGGCAAACAGGTTAGGAGGATTCTGAAAAATACGAGATATTTATATGAGTAATAAAAGTTAGAAAAGGAAACAGGCACTGACACAGAAAATAAGGGTTCAATATCTAAGACTTGCAATCTTCTTGTGTAACTTCCAGAACTTAATGTATGTATGTGTCTCAGTTCCTCTCCTATGAAATTGAGATAATTCCTGATGTCAGAAGAGGCTATAGGATAAATCAATTTTTTTAGACAACAAAGCTGTAGAGATCGAGTGAAGAAACATTTTGTTATTCCTTGTAATGTCCAAGGATGTCCAAGGAGGCCAACCAGGCCTGGGAAGCTAATATTTCAAGCACCATATGTTCACAGGACATGGGCCATGTTCAAAAGGATCTAACATATATATGACAAAACCAATAAACAAAGATGAAATGAAAGCAATCGATTTCAGAGTGAACAAATACAATTTAAGGTAGGCAGATTTTAAGAGGTGGAGAAATGAATTAAATGATACCTCAGCAACAAGTGCACTAGTGTGCTCTCAGAGCTAGTAACAAAATCTAATAATGTTCTCCCAGGACACCTATAAACAGAGAGATTGCATTCATATGTTTTCATTCCATTTATTGCTACTGAGTCATGTGGTTTAATTGGTCAGATGAAGGGTAATCATCACTTGGAGAGAAGGGAGGTTTTTGTTAGACAAACCTCAAGTTATGATTTATTTATTTGCTAGTCTTTAAAAGCTGGAATGCCTAGAATAATTGCTCTGTTTAATAACATATGCTTGCCAAGTTGATTTTGCTTTAGAAAGTTTCTCTGTGTCTCATAGTACATGTAGCAGTTATCTGCACTAAAAATAGTACCTTTATAACTAAACTATGAAAATATATTACACTGAAAAAGATGACAAAACATTTCAAACAATTGACTCTAGCATGTTAAGAAAAATAATTGTACCTTGATCTGCTTTTGGCCAAGAATGATAAGGACATAGAACATGTAAACTGTTTGCTGCACTGAATTATAAATACAGGCATACCATGTCACAGAGACCAAAGATGGAAGTGATACGTTCTTTCAAAAACCATTGTAGTTATTCCTTGTCAAATCTCTATCCACCATTGGTCATTAGAAGGGACTTCAGGGTTAGCCTCAGGCAGCAAAGAATTTACTGGTTTTAAAGTCTGAAAATATTATACATGTGATATAAAATAGTCCCTTCTTCAAAAGTAGCTACCAAGACTGAAGAGTTTTCATTATGTAGAAAAATAAATCAGAAATCTTTTAACTTCCAAAGCTTTTTTTTTCAGGCACTAACACACCTCAGATGCAAAGATTTTAGATCTACAAGAACAAAATTCAAATATTGCTAATGGTTAGTAGTCACCAAAGCTCTTTCTCTTAAAGTAACTGGAACTGGGAAGAGAATATACTTCATATTTAGAATAACATTAAAGTTCAGTTTCACTTAAATGAGTAGTTTGCAAAGGTGACTCTCACATGTTAAAGGCAAGAATAATAGGCTTTATGATTTCATAAGAACTAAGAAAAGGCTAATAACTTTTGATTGAAATTAATTTCTGTCTTTTAAAAAGATGACACTTCAATAAACCACTGTTCAATCTTCAGACCTGTCTTTTGCCTTAGTAATTTACAAATTTAGGTCTAGAGTTTGAGAGTTATGAGATTTGTGGATTAAAAAAAAAAAAAAAAAAAAGATCAAAAGGAAAAGAAAGAGTTCTACTTATGTGAAACAGCTATTTCTTTGAGGCATGTAAACGACAGGCGTAGATAAGTGTCTGTTGGCCAGAATAGCTCCAAGCATTGCTCCTGAATCTTAATATCCCATGCGCTGTGGAAACTGGAGTTTGACCTTTTGCTCCATCTCTTTCTGGGCAAATGTTTTTGCATGATTTAATAGAATGGTTATTTTTTATGCAGATGACTGTTAGCCATGCTCCAAGAGGCAAAAAGAAATTTCTGGTAGAAATGAGCTCTATCAGCATGGTTGAATAAGCAGAAAGATTCTTCCAGCTATCCTAGTTTTAGGACACTTGAAAAAAAATCAAAAAATGAGATTTGTTCAAGGCATATTTGTTTTAATTCCTATGGATTTCCTATAATTACTATTAAAATGGTTAATAAAACTATGAATAAATCATGTTTGTAGGTGTTGTTGGATAGCTTTAGGAGATTTGAAATCAGCTCTGAGAAATTTGCTAGGATCTCTCTGGATCTCTTCTGAAATTTTCATAGAGAAACTACTTTCTTGCAGACACGTAACTGTTTGAAAGTTTGTGCCACTTTGTGAAAAATCAATTTTTTATGGGAAAATAAAAACTTAGAAAACTCCTGAGGATCTCAGCAGGAGTCTATTGTTTCTGATTTACTGTGGCACTTTGTGATATATGTGAGATCTTATCATATCTCATTTTAATTGTACTTTTCATAGAAGATACAGAAAATCAAATCTCACTTTGCCAATGAGCTTTAGCACTAAGATGCAATTGCAATATACCTACAGATTATAGAAGTAAGAAGTGAATAGAAGGATTAAGATTACAGAATAAAAGCTTTTCTGAGTTTGTGTATATTTTTATAATGCAGCTGAAATGCATGTTTATTACCAGTATACCTTTAAGTAAATTGCTGCTCTACTGCAAAGAATTACATATTAGTACTATTATAAGTAATAAAGTTTCATATAATTTCCAAAGTTCTTGTAACAGTTTTATCTCACTTTTAATATTACAGATGTTATTAATTCAAATTATATTTATTTTTTCTTAGATAGCATAGAAGTCCTTGGTTAGTTTATGAAGTTGAATTAATATTCAAAACTTTAATATTATATATTCTAATTAACTGTTAATTTTACAAAAAAATACATTTTAAAAGTGCCTTTAGAATTAGGCTTTCGAATACCAGGTTCAGCACTTTTGGTCTCAAGTAGGCCTATAAGCATTCATGATGTATTTCCATATTTATCCAAAGTTGTCAAAGTAGATTCCATTGTATGCCGTGCTGGGTGCCCTGCTGGGCAGGGCGGGCTCTGCGGAGCCGTGGCCGTGGAGCCAGGCCACGCTGCAGCACCGCGGACAGCGCCGGCTGCCCTAACACCGGCGGCGTGCGCAGCCAAACCCCTGCGAGTGCCAGGAGTTCTGGGTAAAGTTGTATCTTAAGGAAAAAAATTCCTGAAAGTCAAACTAGACCGCATTTTTTGGTGACAAAAGGATTTCTGCGATGCTCAGTCCATGCTCATACAATAGGTGTTTTGACCTATTATTATCACTGCTTGCACTATTTTGGAGTCCTTTCAGGGTCCAAGATCCCATTGTAAGGCCTGAACAAGCATGAGAATGGATCATTTTCCTGGGACACTCCAAGGCTTTGGGATAACCCTGATGAATGGGTTCAGCTGACACAAATATCCGTCATTACTCAAATTGACTGTGTCTTCAGCTACTCCCTTGTGTTGGCAACACCGATTTTTATGATGAGTTAGATCGTGGATCCTAATTATAAAGTCCATGGTTTTCATCTGGATCCATTCCTAGTTAACTTTGCACTTTTTCCTCCCCCAGGCCCCATGTTTTGGTATGATTAAATTTTCCTCCACAGCTGAGAATTGCTGAGCCAACCCCACATGCAGGTGGCTGCTAGCTGTGTGATGTGACAGAGCAGGTGTACGTGATAGAAATAGAAGATAAAAGTAGAAACAGTCAGCTACACAGCATTCCAGTATAAAGTATCCTTTAGTAACACTAAATCCAACACTGCTATTATAGGAATTGTGGCTAGAGACAACTGGGGTGAGGCAGTCAATTTGTACATTAGTCTTTTAAAACTAATTGTATCCAGAATACCAAAAATCAGTTCTAAGATACTATAAAATGCAATGGAGCCTTGGATTAAAGTAAGTAAAACAGATCATCCTAAAAACTCTCTATTGAGCAATGATGTAATAGTCTTGGCTACATCCAATTCAAGCATCCATTTCTTCTGTCTTACTTAACAACTTTTTTTCCTCTCTGGCTTTCAATAAATATGTAGATGTCATTTGCGTTTTGCAGGATCAATAGTCAGAGAAAAAAACAGCACTCTTATTTTCTACCATTCTGTAGTGGAGGGTTTTGCATAAAGAATGATTTCTTTATTTCTAAACAGAACATGCATTATTGCATAGTAAAATAAATATATCAGGCAGAACCTTGAGTTTTCTGCAATTACGTGTATACTGATGTATTCAAACACTTACCTCACTTAAAAAAAAAAAAAAAAAGAAGAAAAAAAAAGAAAAAAAAGAAAAATCATGTTGTGTACTTTAAATGTCAAGCCAGTTGTCAGGAATTGGTAAGCAGTGCTCAGTGTTGCCGTATTTAAAGCTGTGTACTGGAGGGTAACGCGGCGCAGGAGCTGTGCGGGCAGGGTGTGCGGGCACCGGCGCGCTCGATCCTGCCAGGAGGTGGAGCCAGCGCGGAATCTGCTGCCGCTTCCTTTCCTCCCTCTCCGCTCTCCCCCCTCCTTTTTTTCCCCCACAACCAATTTTGTGATCGATGCTGGGATTCAAGGAATGAATCTCAGAACAGGAAGCAGGCGAAGAGACTACAGAATACTGCAGAGGTTCCTTTGTTGCTTTTATGGGGAGGCTCTTTGTTTCTTTCCTTTTTCATTTCAGTGAGATCAAGAGTTTACAAGCTTCTTTGCCCAGGAACCTGTACCTGCAGTAGAAGGAGCCTCTCATCATCTATCTACAAGTGTATGGATATTTCTTATGCTATGATTTTAAATTCTCTTTTAATCAGGTAAGACAACATTGTATTTAATATGAATGCTACAAACCAACAAATTCTAGCTGGTTTTTACCAAGATTCTTCTCTTGTGGTGCCACACCTAGTTTTCAATTAATATTAATAGAGCAAGAGGAGAGGAAATAATAGCCATCTTTGCCACTGCATGGATTTTTCATAGCATTTAATTGGGTCTTAGCACAATAATGAAAAATTATGTTGCTCTTTGCAGCTTTCTGGTCCTGTGTTTTTAAGCTTGCATGCTTGTAATAAGAATTACTTTCGAGTTTGTGTTTTTCATCTGAATTGTGTTAATTTGTTGCTGTTGTTTTGAGGTGGTCATCCACAAGTGTTTTCTTTTGCTACTGGAGGCTATATTGGTGCTGTATTCTGAATACAAATTGGAGTGTGTTTTAAAGCACACAACTGCATCCCTAGGATTGCACAATTTTGATGCAGAGAGATACTGTTGCTTCTTTATAGCTTTTTCAGTGTGAGGCTCTCTTTCCTTCCTAAATTCGTCATTTTTTTTTTTTATGTGAGGCATAGGAGATTTATAGGATTCTCCCCTCCCTCATCTCCCAAAACAGCCTCTCCCTGATAGAAGACAGAATGGAGGACTTGTCTATGACTAAACATGGTTTTGCACTGCTGCATACACCATATGAAACACATATGTTTTGTGAATTGTTTTATGTATATAAGAATGAAATTTTTATTTTGAAACTTCATTCCATATTGCATGAGAGAGAAAAAATATTCCTTTCATTATTTTTTTAGAAGCATGATACCCACTGGGAGAGACAGCAGAATGACTCAGGAGGTGGGAAGCTCATGCAGCACCCCCTGACTCTTCTTTCAAACCTTCTGGTCTTTTTTCTTTACCTTCTCTTAATTACAGCAATAATGGTTTTCGTTGGGAAAAACAATACTGAAACGCATTGACTTACAAAGTCACAGATCAGGGAAGGGGCTCAGTAACCAGTTTGTGAAAAAAAAAAATAGAGAATGTGCAATCAGGTTTTTTCCCTGTTGCTTTCTATTATAAGGTGGTAAGGAGCACTCCATCAAAATTTTCACACACCTGTGTAATCGCAAACTTTTTTATTTTTGTGATGATTAGTGAAGCAACAGAAAATTGCCTGTTGGAATTTAAATGCTCGATGCTGTGTTGGCTTTAGATGATGCCACAGATCCAAGTGAAACGTTCAGAAGGTTCACACACATTCTCGCCATCTCTGCAGGTTGCCTGATTAGCTGCATTTTTCTGATCAATGTTTTCAATATGCATATTCTGGGTAAGGCTGAGCCATTGCAATGTCTGAAGGTCTCTTCACTAGATGGTAAAGGTTCCTTCATTACTGAACGGGTCTGGAGAAATGATGAATGATCATGTCCAAATGATCTGCAATTTCATCTGGTGACAAATGCATTAAATAAATGATGCTCTCATATGTCTATAGGCCCCACTTCAGCAACAAACAGACATGTCAATGGGATGACTCACATTCTCAATATTAGGCAAGTGGATAAATACCTGGTTCTGTTCTCTTGACTTTTAGACTGCACCAATTTTCAGAGAAAAAATACTATTTGTAATCACAGAAATTTTGCAGTGTTCATAAAATGCAGTTAGTAGGTCAAATGGGCATGTAGCTTCAAAGACAATCTTTAGATTAACTCTTCTGTTTAAAAAAATAAAATCAATTGAGTTATAGCCCTTAGAGGAAAATATTGAAGCAGAATTCATACAGATTTTGAGTATATTTATTGTGAACATTACGTCTTGGGAAATAGAGGCACATAAATGGCTGTATCATATCAAAGCATGATCCAGTTACCTTTCACTAGGAATAAAGTTGGGTATTTCTGAAGGAGTTCAAGCAAAACTTGACCCTAAGAGAAAGCTGACTCTCCCTACGTTGTGTGAAACTTTAGTATTCTTCTTATTTTTGAATACTGAATTACTCTGATTTGTACTTTGTACTCATATAAGCATCAGATCTCAACAGCAGAGACCAGTGTACCCACCCTGCAGCAAGAGCCCAGCATCAGTTATGCTGCCAGTGCTGCTTCCTTGATTTCATCTCACACCTTGATGAATAGATTTGTGTGGTCACTACCTGTAGCCCTGAAAACTCTTCCACCAAAGAGATGGAGATGACACTGAAATCTAATACAATCTATCTGCTTGACTCATACCTGGTAGCAAGAAATGCAGCTGTAATCCCGTTATGCACTCAGCTCTCAGCTGGAGCACGAAAAATCTCAAGCAAGATTTTTACTGTGTTGCTTCCAATGTTTTAAGGCCATAGATGTGCTTCCACCTGCTTTTCCAAACCACAGTGTGGATCCTTTGCAGCTGCACACCCTGGTCCTGCACTCCCCCTGAATAGAAGTAGTCTCTTGCCCATCAGAGCCCTCCTGTTCCTTTCTCTTTGTCATCGGTCCCAGCTTGCCAAGCAGGCGTCAGGAATCCTAGGGCCTCCTTTCTAGAGGCTTCCTGAAGTCCCTTGAATAATCCATTTCTTGTACCTTCTCTCATCTCGCAGACACTCACCACTCTTAGAAATGCTGGGTGAGAAGACATTTCTGTCAATGGTCACTTCTATCTCCTGTTCCTCTGTTACTGTCTTTGAAAGACTAATTATATGTACCTCATTTCCCAGAGGTGGTAATGAAGAGAGGCAAATGATGTTGTGAATTACTAAATGCCTTAAGGATTAAAAAAAAAAGCTGAGGAAATTAATACTTAATACATGCTTGGGAAAAAATGCTATAAAGAAGATTTGGAACCAAAATATTGACAGAGGACAACTTAAAGGAACATTGAATAACTATATTCATGCTCTCCAGTTCAAATTCCAAGTTTGCAGCTTTACCTCTTTTACTTTTGCTTCTGAACCTACAAGTGTTTATTTTCCAACCCTTACCTCCAACTGAAGTTCGGCTGCTTCCTCTTTCTGCCTCTGACTGGTTTGGGCCCAGCAGAAGAATTTTGCTTCCCCTCCTGCTTTCAGTGTTGGGTGCCTCAGCAGTTCTCAGTATTAAGTGCACTGAAGGGGCTGCTAATGTAGAAACACAGCAACACATGGCAGCTCTCTAAGTATTTATTACAAGCCGCTAAGAAGCTTTTTGTGAACATATCTAGAAATTATTTTAGAGAAGTGTTGAATGGCCAGATTTCAATACATTTAAACGGGAGCAACAAGACTCAAACTCGTATATTGCCTGAGCAGCCTACTTGAAACAATCCAGAATAAATAGATTGTAGCAAAATTTTCAAAAAAACTGGCTGGAAATACATATTAATGCTGCAGTATTATCACCGTGCTTATAAAATAAACACAAAACCAGTTTTTAATCTTTCTGTTTAAACACCCAACAACATAGATTCATCATTCTTTCCTGTGTTTTTTAAACTTGTAGATTAGGGAAATAATACTTTCAAACTTTTCCCAATAAGCAGACTAAAAATATACTTTTTCTATTAAATGGTGAATTTTTTGTTGTTATAAGCATTCAGACTGAAAGAGGAAACATGAATCCACATTGTGAAGTTTATATTTTCTTTCTGATTTTATTGAAAGAAATATCTCACCATTAATAGTGCCATTAAAGAAATAAATCAAGTCTCAACAATTAATATTTGGCAAAGCTGAAAGCATTATGAAGTGGTTCACATGATGGAAACATTAAGCAAACAAAACTGTCAAGCTGTTCATACTATATGAAAAAAAATTTAAAAATAAATAGCAATGACTTATTTTTATGTCTCTCGAGGTGAAGTCCAGTGATTGTTCTATGTGAAGTTTTCTTAGGCTTTGTGTAATTGTGATCCTTCCTACTTGTTGCTTGATTCTTTGTTTGGTTTCCACTGATTATGGCCCGATGAATTGTTGTAGCTAATGCTAGTTGGTTCTCACCATCTTTCTGGAGAGATCCTCACAGGTGGTTGACGTTATGCATTAAAAATGCAAACTTCCTTCACCAGGAAAAAGGCTCACATTCAATAACATAATGGTTGCTCCACACAGGGTAAAGCTACGTTACCTACACAAACTGGTAACATATAGCATGAGCAGGCATGCATTTTAAGATGATGGATGTCCAGGTTTTGAACGTACAGCAAGTGATCTTCTGATGTGGCCTTGTCATATTGAAAGGGGGTGTCTGAGTTTTATGCCATAAGGTGCTGATTGTCTGGTCTTAAATGGAGTTGTAACATACAGCTTTTGAGTAATTCAGATGTCAAGCCACCTGCTCTCGCCAAAATATTGGGTACAGTTCAACACTGCAGTGAAAAGCAGGATGGCAGCAGGTCCAGCCAGCCTTTAGATTAGTACTTTGGTTTCAAAGGCAGCATTTGTGCTGTATGGAACTGTACAAGCCTACCTGATTATTTTGGCCGTCTAACTTCTGACTCCATAGCTTCTGGTCGCTGATACTGAACTAACTTAATTTGAGCTACAATGTTTCCCCATCTACTGCTGCCATTCTTCCCGCAGCAGAGTGAGTGTTGTTGTAGCTGAATTTTTAGCAGCAGGTTTTCAGAGTGGGGCAGAAACAGTCTTCCTATCTGAATGGGAGGTAATTATGCATCTTTTTTTTGCTATACCATCTTCACCATCTCACCATCCTCAGTGTAACTGCAAAATCCTCCACAGACTTTAACCCTAATGTAGTTTTGTTTGATGATAAATGTAAATGACTCACTCTGAAATTAGGAGTCTGACTCAAGTTCTCTAAAGCAATACACTGTGTTCTAGACTCACCCATTTGTCTCAGTAGGATAACAGATATATTAGGAGCTGGATTCCATACGTGTATACAAAATGGAGACATGCAAAAAAATTGGACAGTCTGTGATCTCAAGAAAAACAGTGGCCAGAGTTTAAACGTCATAAACTGTGGGGAGCAAGATTAGAAACAAATGTCCTTTGCATAGACACTGGGATCTGAATTTGCTGTTTAAAAATGAGTTCCATATACAGGTGCCAGCACCCAAGTATTTA